GAGCGGGGGGCGGGGGGGGGGGAGGGAGGAGTGGAAAGGGGCTGCTGTGGGCGGTACCCAGCGAGGGCACAGGGGCCAGGACCCCAGAGGGCCGGTGAGGATTTGGAAAGCCTTTCCCAGAACACCACAGCAAAGAGCTCAAGCAGAAAGCTCTGAGTACTCAGGGCCCGCCTGGACGTGCCCCTTCACCTCTCTGGCGCCCTCTTAAGCCAAGTAGGGCCTCACACACCCTTCATCCTCCCAGGTGCGAAACTTCACACTGCCGGGTCCAGCGGCCCACTGCGCTTGCGCTCGCACTCTGCGTCTGGCCGGCGGGGGTTGCTTTGGCACCACCGGAAGGGCTGGGTGGGAAAGTTATGTTGGCCTCGGGACTTATTTCGCACAGGAAGTCAGAGCGTAGGGAGCTACTGGAAGTCCATGGCGTCTGAGAGTTGCACCAGCTTTTGGGGCAGCGAGGCCCCAAGTCTTTCTTCTCCAAGAGGAAGACAGTGGTGGATGAGAGGTAGGCTGCTGCAAGCCATTTTCAAGATCTTTAGAATTTAGGGGTCTTCACATGGTCCTCTCTGTCCGTCTCCCAGCTGGAAACTCCACAAGCTTTAAGACCCACCTTCAATGTCACTGAGACTCCTCCCCTCCTTCTCCTAGTTGTTTCCCCCTTGTCCATGAAAGCATTCGTCTTATTGCAAGGATTTGTTTGCCCACTGCTTTGTTCATTTTTTTAAGAGAGACTTTTGCTAGAGAGATAGGAAGCGAGAAATCACCAAAGGGGATGGCCATGCCGCAATTCCTTCTCCATTCTCCTCTCAGGATTTTGGGCCTGCTTACTGCTCACACCGGGTTCAGGACTGGATGTGGGAGTCCAGCAAAGCATCCTTTACGCCATCTGCTGGTCTCTGCACATTGCTTTAAAATGGTATTTTGAGCCTTTTTAAAAATTAGTACTGTGCATCAAGCACTTCATTTAACTACTTTTCCATCGTAAGGATATACCATATGGAATTATATGATCCAGATTGGATACTTGAGTAGTTTCTCTTATCTATTTGATAGGATGAAGGTTCGTTCTTTCTTTCTTTTAAGAATTATTTAATTTCATTCATTGTCATTATTTTATTTTTTTTTAAGTTGACCAGAGAGAAGGAAAGTGAGAATGCAAGCTGCCAGGTCCAGGACTCGAGCTGCTGTCAGCCTTGTGGGAGTCCAGCCACCTTAACCACCATGCCACTTGCCAGCTCAAGGATGAGGGTTCTTTAAAAAGTTCATGGAAGGGGCCAGCAGGTGGCAGTGGTGGTTTAGGTGCTGGACACTCCTTCATGGCTGGACAGTCCCACATGGCTGACCACAGTTCAAGTCCTGGACCTGATGACTTGCTTTCTTTTTTTTTTTTTTGAGAGGTTTTTCGCTAT